TACAAATAGCACCTGAAGGAATTATTAGTTTGAATTGGCTTTGCACACGGTCATAAAGATATCTTACCCACTGGACTATCTATACTACCGCCCTATCTCATTATCTACATCCTGGACTCCTCATTATCTGTATTCTAAACCTAAGACATATGTATGCTCCCTACATCTATCTTGTCAAACAAGACATTGACTGGTGGCAGACTGGACAACTCTCGGTTACCCCTGACCACTAGTTAACTTAGTTACATAGCAGGCCTAAAACCACCCCTCCATGTGGCCCGCCTTGTGGGTTTTTCCTAGTGAATTCTGGGTAAAATGCCTGTGCAGTAGAGACAAAAAGGGCATGTTCCTTTAAGAACTGACCACTCCTGAACCACTCCCTGATCCCACCCTGAATCATCTAGTTAGTGTATTTGCCACATGTTTTATTGCATTTTATCCTTTATAAACTTTAACTATACCCCTCTAAGGTCACGGGTTCCTTAAGAACCCTTGCCTGCTGAAAAGCATAACAATAAACTTTTTGCCAACTTGGCTTAAAGGTTGCTTGAGTCTGTAAATTCATTCCAGGTGACCCCGTCCTGTACTCCAGTCTTCGAGGGGTCTCAACCTCCCAGACCGCCACAGGACCAGCTACATGTGAGCACTCACCAATACCAGTGGCCCTGGGGCAGGAAGTGCCTTATCTCCTCCTGGGCCTATGGTCTCAGGAAATCTGATAAGCAGGTAAGCAAGAACAGCATACTGGCAGAGCCTGGGAGTTTAAGGTTCATATGGGACAGTGAACTGGAGACGTCCAGCAGACAATTTGGACTTTAAAGCATAAAGGAATCTTAAGAATTCATACTCCTGATTTTGTAGATGAGCAAACTGAAGGTCAGAGAGGTTCAGAAACATCCCCTAAATTAAACAGCTGTAGTAATAATTTCCCAAAAAAAGAGGAAAGTCTCATTTGATTTTTTTGAACTCTTAGGGGAGGAATAGAAAGGAGTTTCTCATTTTCATGCCTCAAGGACACCAAGGCACCAAAGTAGGAGGAGACTCAGTAATGGAGGTGTCAGGCCTTCCTTAGGCAAATTTATTCTCCTCTCCCACTCTAGAGCATTCTTCTTCTATCCAATAAGTTTCTCAGAATTTGTTTGGTTAGGGGTAGGTGACATAGACTTGTTCATCATTTTATTTGTTTGTGATCAACTTTCTATTCCACAGAAGGTGTTCTAAACTTTTTTCTCCTTTCTCCAAGCCCTCTGTTTCACTATGTTCCCCTGTCAACTAATGACATCACTTCCTTCTTTACTCCCTGATGTCATGGTCCTCTTTAAGAATGAAGGAAAAAAGGGGCCTGCCCTGAAGTCAGGAGTACCTGAGTTCAAATCCGGCCTCAGACCAAACACTTGACACTTACCAGCTGTGTGACCCTGGGCAAGTCACTTCACTGCAATTGCCAAAAAAAAAGAATGAAGGAAAAAGCTGGGATTCTTATAATCTAGCCACTGCTTGGATTCTTATAATCTAGCCACTGCTTACCCATATTCAGACTCCTTAAGAGTCTGCCCAATATGACTGATGTTCTAAAAAACCTTGTCTTTGGCTGAAAGAAGGTTTGGGTCAAATTCTTTCGGGCAGGACCCACGTATCATGATTTTGGGATTCCAGGATCCCTAAACCCTTAAACTGCATCATTTTGGTGGCCCGTATGGGGGAACTGCCTAACCCCAAGTTCTTCTCCAGCCAAAACTGAAAGGTGTGTAAGCCTCCCCCCTCCCCTCCTTTCTTGCTCTGCAGTTGGGGTCGCTCTCCAAGCACCAAGGCTTAGAGTGCTTTTCTGGCGGACAGTTATGAGGCTGTCTCGCACTCGGCCTGATGCTCTCAGGCTTTTGGGCCACTGAGTCGGTTCAAGGCCATGGACCAGGGTACACCTTCTACAACATAGAAGACAAGGATGGATGCCCTATCTGGAAGCATTCAATTCTGTTAATTCCCTCAGCGCTAGGGAATTGGGGAAAACTGCAATTGCTTTTTGGTTCCCTGAGGCTTACTTAACTCCTTTCTCTCTGCACCTCTGAATCCTCCTTTATGGAGGTTACAGGGAAAGTTAGAACAGCTACGGATGGATGTTCTAATAAACCTTGTCTTTGGCTGAAAAAAAAAAAAAGAATATAGCTGGAAGGGACCTTAGAGGCCATCAAGGCCAAATGCCTCATTTTGTAGATGAGAAAACTGAGATTTAGCAAAGTTAAGTGACTTACCCAGGGTCACACAGTAAGTAAGTACCTGGCAAAGATTTGGACCCAGCATTTCCTAGCTTCTAGTTCCTTGCTCTATCCATTATACCATTTATCCTTCAGAATCTTTGGCTCCTGTTTGATGCTATATCTGTTTCATTCATAACCTCAAACATGGAAACACCATTCCTATGTCTTTTTCTCCAAAGTTATGTTCAAAGAATTATGTCAGTACACAATTTAACTAGGTTCAAATATTCTGGGCCAGATTAAAGATAACTAAATCTACTCCTTTAATCAAAATTTCTCTCAGGCACAGAATGGGATATGCCCCTGAGGGGAATTCTCCTAGAGAGATTTAGAGATTTCATTTGCCTCTGCAGGAAATGAATAAATACAATGATAAAACAATATCATTCTCTTAATTCATCCAAGGAATCCAGTGCATCTCATATTTACTCAAAAGTCTCCCTTTATTTTTTTGCAGTAGATGTTAAACTTAGTACAGAATTAGGCAGGCCCTGCTGTATAGCTTTCATCTAATTTGCTTTGAAGTAGTCTACTTTCCAAGGGAACTCTAAAACAAAGAGAGGCTCATTGTTACATGTTGAGAAAAAGGCCTACACACAAGCATATGAGTCAGTCTCAGACTCCCAGCCATCTAACCCCACAGCTAAGATATCCTCCAAGGGACAATGGATGAGGGGAATTGCAATGCATACTCTATTTCCACCCTCCCAGTACAGGCTGACTTGACCTTGTGCCTGAACTCTTGGATGACTTTCTAACTAAGCTTCCTGTCTATAATGACTCATCTCTCCAAGCTATCCTTCACCTTCCTGCCAGAGTTGTTCCTTTTTTTTTTGTCCCAGTCCTGTGATTTCATCAGTGTGTAAGTTCCCAGTAAGAAAATATAACACTTATAGATCAGTGACTGTTCTACAACTTACAGAACTACCTCAGGAGGGGGAAATACCTTGTCCGTGGACATATAGCCAGCATACGTTAGAGGTAGGACTAGAACTCATGTCTCTCTGTCTGCAAGGCTCTCTCTACTCACTGTAGCATGCTGCAATCTGTCTGAAGCTTCCATTCTAATCATGACCCTTCCTTGCTCAAAAACTGGTGTTTGCTAAGGGAAATCCATGTTAAGTCTCAAACCTCTCCACAATCTGGCACCAATCAATTTTTCCAGCCTTAACTCAAGTTATTTCCATCAAAGCCCTCTATAGGTAGCCCAACTTACTACCCCATTCCTATTCTCATCCTGCCTTCTCCCACTTGTAGTAGAACCACCCACACTCATGTCCATATTTGACATGCTTCCCTTCCACAGCTCAAGTGCCTTGCTGAAAGAATATCAGCAGCAGCATCAACAATAACAATGATAAATTGTTTGCATGTTGTGATCCTCTCTCATTGGAATGTGAGCTACTTGAAAGCAAGGGCACTATTTGCCTTTCTTTGTATCCTCGGTACTTAGCACAGTGCTTGGCTCAGGGCAAGTGCTTAGTAAATGCTTGTTGACTGAATAATAAGAGGCAGTGTGGCATATTGAATAGGGGACCAGACTAGGAGTTATGAAGACCTTGATTCATGTCCTCCATCTGACATGTCTAACTGTGTGATACTGGGTGAGTCACTTAGCCTCTCATAGTCCCAAACAGATCTCTAAGACTGTAAGTTAGAGAGAATGTTCTAGTTCGTATCTGTACTGAGAAATTTCACCTCCAGTAATTCCTTACAGAAATGAAATCATGGATACTTACAAACAAAAAGCACAAAATAATGATAATAATTCACATTTCCATAGAATTTTCTATACATTCCAAAGCATTTTCAGCTTTACAATGACAGTATTGTTTCTTGTTGTTGCATGTTGTATTGTTATTACCAAAATCATGAAGGGAGCTCAAGTGATCTCTAGAATGGGAGGGCAGCATCTATGGCCAGTCTGATGAGGGCAAGCATCTTCCTTTCCCCTCTGGGCTTCCTGTCACCAATCTACAAAACTACAAAATCTACAAATCAAAGTCTCCAGAACTTACATAGGTTTCTATGTTGTTGCTGTTCAGTCCTTTCAGTCATGTTTGACTCTTTGTGACACCGTTTAGAGTTTATCTAAGCCCATTTGGAGCAGAGATAGTGGAGTGGTTTGCCATTTCCTTCTCCAGCTCATTTTACATATGAGGAAACTGAGGCAGAGTTAAGTGATTTGCCCAGGATCATATAGCTTTTAGTGTCTGAGGCCAGATTTGAACTCAGGAAACTGAGTCTTCCTGACTCCAGGCTTACCACTCTATCCACTGCACCACCAAACTGCCCCAATGGTTTCTATACCGTCTGACTTTATATAGCAATAACTGTGTTGTCAAGGAGCAAGAGAGTAAGGCTACACTTCTGTGTGGCAGAACAGATTAGTTCTAGGTAACCTGAATGGCTTTCCCCAAGTGCCTATGTTTATGTTCTTCTGTGTTCTGTAAATGTCCAAGTAGAAGGTTATTCAAGGAAAATAAGCATCTAATCCATATATGAAGACACTCCATCCACAAAAGGACTGGATCATCCTGACCCTGCATCACAAGACATGTCCTTTACAGCACTTTCTAAGCCCTTTGTAGCCTGTTGGACATTTCCTTTGCCACACATCACAGGTCCCTTGAAAATCATCTCTATTTTACAAATGAGTAAAATGACACTCAGAGAGATTCATTGGTTACCTGATGCTATGCATTTAATAAATGCAGAAGGTAGGTCTTGAACCAAGATCTTCTGACTACAAGCCCCGTGTTCTTCCTATTATATATTATTGCCTCACAAAGAAGTCTCCTGATTTACCAATCTAGTAATCCTGTTCAAAGATGTGTTCTCTGTCTTCAGCTCATGTCCTTGGCTTACTTTCATTTCTTCTGGTACCCTTTGTTCTCTCCAATACTGTTCTTGGGTTTTGCCATGACCTCTGCCAAATAAAATAAAATATAAATGGAATCGAAGGTGAGAACATGCTCCATTTACAAATCCTAAGTAGGCGCAAGTACGAGAAGAAATGAAAGTCAGACACATTAGAAAAGGGCCACAGACCGTAACCAGGGAGAATGATTAGAGTTTTCTTTTGTCCCTAATGTTGCTGCAATGTTCTTTAGGAATTTCAAAGGTTTGCTTTGAAAGTACTTAATGTAAGAAGAACTAAACTATACTGCCTGACCTTGTTATGGTGATTTCTATTTTTACTATATTGAACACAACAACTTAAGTATGTTGGTCTTTCCCGTTCATAGTTAAAAATCAGCCCAATTCTTCCATTCTTTAAAAATTTAGTTACTATGTGAGGCTGATGAGGCCAGGATTCTGTGAAGTGGGTATAACTAGACTTTCCCAGATTGATATTAGTTTCTAATTTTCCATACCCAAGGGAATAATATTTCAGATCCTAAAGTCATTGGTCAAGTTCTCCTGTATGACTGGATCAGTGCATTAAAAGGGCAGCATTTCCAAAATAGCAGCAAAGGAAAGGAGGGTTGAGTTCTGTTTGCCAGATGGAAGAGGGTAGACCAAAGTAAGGACTGTAAGCAATTTGATACCTAATTTTAACAATGATGTTACTCTAACATGAGCTGTTCCTGATGAATGAAGCCATATCAGCTCTTTAGGATTACAACTTTCTTCTCTAGATTTCTACTAAACATCTCTTTCAGCATGCACTTGAATTTTGACAGGAATTAAAGTAAAATTTTCTCTCTCTCTCTCTCTCTCTCTCTCTCTCTCTCTCTCTCTCTCTCTCTCTCTCTCTCTCTTTTTCCTTTCTTCCTTTCTATACTATCTCTATCCTTTTCCAATTCTCCACAGACTTTCAAAAATTCAAAAAAGTGACTCAGCAATTATACTTACCAGTGATTTTAGTACCTGAGGATACAGTTCACCAGGACTAGGTTGTTTGAACTCATCAAGGCAACTAAATGTTCTATCTCCTTATTTACCTAGATTATCAACTATTAACCATCTTTATTCTATCTTTTCCAGTTGAAATATTGTTCTCTTTGCTATATAAACAGAAGGAAAATGAGAAATGAGCAATTCTTCCTTTTTTCCATTGTTATGACAATTGTTATGAGCAACAGTCATATCCCTTCTAAGGTCCTTCTCATCACCAAATTAATTTCGGGGGTGAGGAGAAACCACCTTTTTGTTGTTCCTAATTTGCCTTGACAATCTCAGTTCTTTCTGAGGTATATTATTCTTATGGTATTATCCACCTTTTTGTATCCATCCTCTGCTAATTGTCCTGTCCCCATCTTTGGTATTATCTTTTCAATATCTAAGTCATTCATGGTGTTCCCTGTATGTCCACATCAGTCTCTTTAGAGAACTGTTATTTTTCTTTTTCATTTGAATTGTTTCATTTTGTCTTCAGAATTTTATTCCTGAGAGCTTCCTATCCTTCTTAGACTTATTCTCCCTAGAGGGTTTTAGACTGAGATCCTGCTTATACTTTGCCTGAATTGTCTGATAGCTGGTCCCCAGAAATCAGACTATGTACAAATTTCATTGCCTTCTCTACTACAAGTGCTAAGTTGGAATGATACCTTCTCCTCTACAAAGGTCACATAATCTCTAGTTCAACAATGCATTCCTCCTTATAGGTAAAGAATCAGGTTCAAAACAGCTGGGCCCTCAACATTTTTAAAGGATGGAATGATAATTTCTGTAATAATCACTTTTCTATGTTAATTGATAATATTTAATTATCTAATTCTATGAACAGAATAACTGAGGTCAAGTGGTAGTATATATGAGGAAGAGGAGGAGAAGGAAGAATAAGGAGAAGAAGGAAAAGACAGAAAGGAAAAAGGAAGGGAAAAAGGGAGGGAGGGGGGAAGGGAGGTAGGAAGGAAGGAAGGAGGGAAGGAGTAAGGGGGGAGGGAGGGAGGGAGAGAGAGAGAGAGAGAGAGAGAGAGAGAGAGAGAGAGAGAGAGAGAGAGAGAAGAGTTCCCACATGGCATTTAACACATAGCAATGCACTGGAACCCAAAAGGTCAGTACTCTGGACAGTAATCAGAGTACAGTACCTACAGGAAACAGTTTTAGCTTTTGTACCTGAGAAAAGCTAAAATACAATTTCCTAAAGTGAGATTTTCACCATCAAACAACAGTTTGGCCTTCATTCTTGATCTTCAGAACTGCCTTGAATCTTAATTTTTATCTGTATCCACATTGCACTAAAACATTCAGACAAAAATTGAAAAATTCAGTCAGTCTGAGCACATCGCCTCCAGACCTATGAACTTTAAAAAGTTGATATAGATATATATATATATATATATATACATATATATATATGTATATATGTATATATATATATGTATATATATATATACATATATATATATGTATATATGTATATATATATATGTATATATGTATAGATTTGTTGCAAATATCTAGTCATTTGGCAGCATTTAATATTCAGATGATTGACTGAATTTTTCATTTTCCATCTAGATGTTTTGGCATCATATAGATACAGCCACAGTTTCCACAATCCTAATTGTAATTATATTTTGGGCCAGTGGCCCTTGAAATAGGAATCCCTCTAGCACCTGGGTTCTGAAAGGATGAATGCTGCATTTTAAACTATATTTCTTACATAACTTTTTTCTACCATATAATCTTACCATCCTTTCAACTACAGCAGAGCTCCGAGGTAGCAGACCATATTTTACTAAGTCAAAGAGTCTGTCATTATTGGCTTTGGGTTGGATTTTCTTGAATCTGTGAAATAGAAAAAGAGTTGTGATTTTTTTAAAGCCACAAAATGTGTTTCACCGTTTTCACAATCAAGCTCTTGGATAACAAAAAGTAAAAATTAAAAAAAAAACCCTGGCCTTCCCAAATAAGTATAGAGATACTGAGCTTTGGGGCCAGGGGAGGGGGGAGAAGAGAAACACTGTCCTTCAAATTAAGATGAAATAAATACTTTGCAGGCTTCAAATGGGTTACTAATTAGCAACTAAATGATTTGTGAAAGAGGAGGAGAGACAGGATACAAGATACAGCAAAACTGTTAAATCAACCTCTGAATGAAGGATCAAGAGTTGATTGTTAAGCAGAGAAAACACAAGTTTTTGTTTCTTTCTCTTTTTTTTTCAGCCAAAGACAAGGTTTATTAAAGATCTGCCATATTGGCCAAACTCTTAAGAAATCTGAGCTATTGGCTAGATTGTAAAAATCCTAGCAGCGGCTAGATTATAAGAATCCAAGCCTGTTTCTTTCTCTTTTATGTGTTTTTGAACATCCCTTGAATTTTAGATGCTTCCTATCACTGCTTCCTCAGTAGTGAATGGCTTCTCCTTCTTATCTAATCTATTCCTGATGTTGCCATGATATTTAGCCTCTCCATTGTAATTGCACTAGTAAGGGTTGAAAGGCAACACAATGTCATGCATACAGCTCTAGACCTATAGTAAAGAAAAGTATGGGATCAGATCCTACATCAGATGCTTACTAGCTGTGTGACCCTGGTAAGTTAGTTAACCTCACTGTGCCTGAGTTTCCTCATCTGTAAAATAAAGGAATTGAATGTTATGAACTCTAAGGTCCCCTGCAGCTCTAAATCAATGATCTTATGACTGCACCAATTTTTTTTAGGCAATTGGGGTTAAATGACTTGCTCAGGGTCACACAGCTAGTAAGTGTCAAGTGTTTGGCCTGAGGCCACATTTGAACTCAGGTCCTCCTGACTTCAGGGCCAGTGCTCTATTCACTGCCCCACCTAGCTACCCCTTGACTCCTAATTTTATGCTAACAAACTATTTCTTGTTGAATATTTCTAGTCTTGGTTCTAATAAGGAGTGTTTGAACTTTATATTTTTGAAATTATTATCATTTCTTTCCTATGCATTCCAAAACTTTCTTATAACATGGGTCAACAGATATACCCCCATTTATGATCAATACATGGAGATCCAGAGAAGTAAGGGGGAAAAAACTCCAAAGGAACAGCATGTACTTAGAAGGACTGGGATGAAAGTTCTTTGAGGGTTTTTTTTTTCCATAATGCTAACTGGAAAATGAAAAAAGATGGACCAAGTGAACTGTTGCTTATGCTGAGGGTAGCAGTGACACATCATTATTATGAAGTGAGAAATTATTTGGGTAGAAAGTATAAATGAGTTTTAATCTGAAACATATGATTGATTCTAGGTTATATACACACACATATATATGTATATGTGTGTGTATCATATATGTGTATATATACATATATATAAAATACACATACACAATGAAATAAAAAGCATTAGAATGAACTCTCAGACACATATTTGTTGAATTCAGGGGTAAAATAAAAGGCTGAGAGGGAGATAATATCCATTATAATCTGGAAAATCCAAGTTTTAATTGAGATCACAGGCAAATTGTACAACACCGAACAATGTGATGGAACAACAAATACCTTTCCCTCCTTGTCAACTGAGTTTTTACAATTCACATAATATTTCACAGGCATACAGAGACCTCTAGGATTATATTCAAGGAAGGATTTAATTTTGTTTCTATGGAAACCATAAGTACTATGTAAGTCTGTTAAATAAGACAGTTTGTGACATAGTATCTCATTCATAGTGAATCACCTTTGCAATACATCATTGATAATTTTTTTCCATCCTCATTTGAACATCTGAGTAAGGTACAATTCAAGTTCAGGATGACTGGGCAGGCTCTGAAGCAGTGGTATTCTTGGTCAGCTCAGATGCACTCTGGCTCAATGACTGAAAATTAAAATAACTAACACTGTGACTTGGCTTAATGAGGAGGCATTCTGCTGAGAGACCATGTAATGAGATTTTCACGAGAAACCACTGAGGAGTTGCTAGCATTTTGTTAACAAGTTTGCCTTTGGAAACCTTGCTTGCAAGAAATTCTTTGGGCTTCTTGCTTCTCTCTCCTGGAATAAATACCCATAGCTTTTCAAGGAAGAAGGTTCAAATGAAATGTTCATTGACATTTTATTAAAACATGTGAGAGTTGCTCAAAGAAGGCATTTTCAACAGATACTTCCTACATGTGACTTTAGGTAGCTATCCATAGTATGAAGAAGCAGGAATAAATAAATAGGAAATTAGTCCCCCATAGTGCTCTGCCCAATGTATAAATAAACACATTGGTTGAATCGTTTACAAAAATAAGCTAAGCATCACAATGTCCTGATGATTCCCAGTTGTTAGTGCACTCACCCCTACCCCACCAAAATTGTTTTGTGTACTTTTTTTTTTATCTCTCTACACGTCGTTTCTCTTCCAGTAGAATGTAAGACTGGAACTGTTTCACTTTTGTCTTTGTAGCCCTAGCATCTAGCACTGTGTCTAGCAAGTGGAAGGTGTTTTTAAAATGCTTATTGGATTGGACTGGATTGGGTTGTATTACAGCTGGAAGAGGCCTTAGGGTTCATTTAGTTCAATCCCCTTAATTTTCAGATGACAAAACTGAGGCCCAGAAGAGTAATGTGATTTGCTTAAGGTCACACAGAAAATTGGTTTAAGTATTTGACTACTAATCATTTTAAGCCACCTATTTTAAATGCCTACTGATCCAAGAGAAAAAGAGGTGAACACCATAGCTGAAAAGAGAAACTACAAGGGATCCTTTTGGAAATTGCAAACAATATTGTGTATCCTCCAGCATCTTCCCCTTAAAGATTAAAATGGAAAGAAAGACACCCCTTTGATACTAACCATAGAGTTGAATTTCTGATGACTGAAAAGGAAAATAGAACCTCTAATAGCAGGTCCAGATGTGGATTGGTAGGAAACTGAAGTATCAGAAAACCCAACCTGGTGGACAGAAATCAGGAATGGAGTGGGTCTTTTGGAACAATAGCTTTGTAATAGCTTTATAAATAATATTCCTATGCTCCTGCCCATTGGAGTGCAGAAGTCAGTGGGATGGGCCAATTGCTTTGGGGCCCAAAAGGCTGGGCTTTATAAGTGTCAAGTATCACTGTAGACCAAAGGGCAATCATTGTTGCCATGATCAGTGATTTAGGGCAATTAAGCTATGAGAGCAAGGAGGCAGGAGCTGCTGACATAGTACCAAAAAGAGCATTTGAACTATAAGTTCCAAGAAGACAAGGACTGCATCTAAATTGCATCTGAATTTTGGATCTCCCCAGCAGAAGATAATTTAATCATTCAAGAAACAAGCACTTACTAAGTATTTATTTTGTGTCAGGTATGGTGCTTGGCACTAAGAGAGAAGAGAAGAGGGGAAGGGAGGAGACAGCAGGAGACCAGATGAGATGCAAGCAAAATAGTACATCCTAATAAAGACATAAAATATACATTTGTATGTGCAAGATATAGATTAGATAGCGGATAGCCTCCTAGTAGAAAGGATTAGTAGCTGGGGAGACCAAGGAAAGCCTCCTGGTGGACATGGAATTTGAACTAAGTCTAAAAAGGAAGCCAGGAATTCTAAGTGGTAGGGGTTAGGAGGAAGACAATTCTAGGCACAGGGAACAGCCTTGTAATGGCATGGAAATAGAAAATAGAGAGGCTAAATATTAAAAGACTGGAAATATAGGAAAAGGACATTTTGTAAAGAATTTTGAATGTAGAGTAGTGCCCTTAAAAGTAATAGAAAAGTTGGGAAGAGCAATGGGTTGGGGGCGGGGGAGTTGAGAGAAGAATTATAATAAGTTCTGTTTTGGATATGTCCTCCAGGATGTCCAGTTCATAACTTCCAGTAGGGAGTTGGTGATGCCAGACTAGAACTCAGGGAGAACAGGAATTGATAGATAGATCTGAGAATCATTTGCACAAAGATAATCATTTGGAGCTCATAAGCAAAAGAGAGATAATAGCTTGTCAGGGATGTTACAGAGAGGATTCCTACCCAGCTACAGGTTAAATCAGATGACCTGTTAGATCAGAGGTCTTTTAGCTCTGAAATTCAGCTAGGTTGCTTTACACATAGTAGAATGAATGGCTTGTCCTGTCTTTCTCTATGTTGTGTTTTATTCATTCTTGGGGAAAGTCTTGTATTGTGCCATAAAGAGTTCACAGTTTTTGGAAGATAACACAAATGGCTGGATAATAATGACAAGGTCAGTGACAGTAATGTCCTTTACAACACCTTCTAAGCCCTTATCTATTCTTTCAGAGATCTTAAAAGTCAAAAAGTGCAAGATCCTGATAATAGTTATATATAGGATTTGCAAAGAAATGGCATGTCATTTTATCCTTGAAACAACCTGGAGAAGTAGTTATTATTATTATCCCTCTTTTACAGATGAGGAAATTTAAGGAGGCAGAGGGTAAGTGATGTGCTCAGGGTCACACAGCTAAAAAGTATCTGAGTCCAGATTTAGACGCAGGTTCTCCTGACTTCAGGTCCAGGGTTCTATGCCCTGCACCTAAATCTTCCTAAAACATTAAATCTGACCATGGAAAGAAACTTGGACTTGAAATCAAAGAACCTGTATTTAAATCCTGCTATTTACAACCTCTATGACCTGGGGCAAGTCACTTCTCTATAAGCCTCAGTTTTTTCATCTGTCAATGAGGAAGATTGAACTAGGTGATTCCTAAGGTCTGGATCTAATCTTTAACTCAGTATCCTGTATTAAGGAATAAGTGGGAGATAAGGATACAAAGTTTGAGGGCAAAGAAACCTTCATTCAAACCAGGAAAGATGATTAAGACTATTAGAACTGGTAATATTGATGTGATTTAGGAGTTCAGGGGTGCTGGGACCCCAAAATCAGAACATGG